AGCAGGGTGTCTGCAGCCCTTGTTGGGTTTCTGTGGGTCTTTTCCACCTCTTCAGAAGAGGTGAGTGTTGTTTATCACCTCAGACCTCCCTTTTGGTGCCTGCACTGCTCTGGGGGGCGGGGGTTCAATGAGGTGCCTGGGGAGCCATGAGGGGAACATCTCTCAGCCCAGGTGGGCTGGATCCCAGGCTGGAGAGGAACCCAAAGTGCTCTGGGGTCCTGCTGTATTGCAGGGTGTCCTTGGTGCCTGGTTCTGTTCCTCCTTGCTCTCCAAGTGGCTGGAAATGCCAAATTCTGGCTTCTTGGACATTTTTTGTTACTTTAAGACTTGCTCCCGTTCGTTACAGCTGACAACACTGTCAGTTGTTTGCAGTAATTCTGGTATTTAAGGAGTTGATGCACCAGGCACTGAGGAGGTTTTTTTTGTTCTATCAGTGGCATGATAAAGATGTAATTACCCTGCTTATTTAAAATTTAAAGGTAAATAATGTATGCAGCCTTTAGTAGTTCAAAACGGAGATAAGTCATTGTAGGAGCCATCTCTGCATGACTAGAAATGACTTTTACATCTTTTTATTGCCATGTTTTTCGTGTTTGGTGAAATGAATGCATGGGAATGCCCTGGTGTGGTGTGGTTAGATGTTCTCCTGGCACCACTTCCCACACTTCCCATGTTCTTTGCCCCCTCCCTGGCAGTGTTGAAGGGCAGGTTGGATGGGGCTTGGAGCAGCCTGGGCTGGTGGGAGGTGTCCCTGCCCATGCAGGGGGTTGGGGTTGGATGATCTCTAGGGTCCCTTCCAACCCAAACCATTCTGGGATTCTATTCCATGTACTGTAGTGCTCCCAATTAAAGTGTGCACTGCCCCTCTTCTCTCTCAGGAAGGGAGATATATAGGAAATGAGGAAGATCCTCCTCAGGATCTGGTCCCCAGAATCCAGCTCTGGTGCTTTAACCACTTGCTGTTCTCAGGCAGAACTAGGTCACGTTTTCTGCAAACCTGAAATCCGTCTGGAGTGCCCTGAGCTGATTTATGCATTCATATATATGGGGGAAAAAAACCAACAACCAAACCCAAGCAGTCTGACTGAATTCTGCTTTGAATGTTGGAGTTTCTTTCATCTTGGTGCTCCTGGAAAACAGAAGCAAAGGGAAGGAAGTGTTGAAGCCTGAGCATGGCTGTGGGCAGGGCGACTTTGCAGCTGCAGGGGCACAGGGGACCCCCAGGCCCTTCAGCCTGCCCCCTGATTGATGCCTTCTGGTTTGTGCATTTCCAGTGGGAGCATTTTCAAGGATAGTCATAGTGTTGGAGAGTGAGCTAGTGAGTCAGAATGAAGGAGTCTGTTATTGTTTGTTCATGTGTTTATCGTTGATCTTCTCTGTTTCTGTTGCCATCCTGGGTTACGTTACTCACTGATTTTAAAAGCTCCGCTGCTTTTTTAAACCAAGTGAGTAGACAAGGAACTTGGCCCTGGCAATGTCCCCAGTGCACTAAAAATACGGAGAGGAAGTCAGAGGAGAGCAGTGAAGTGTGGTAGCACCAAATCCATTCTCCTGTGCTGTGTGCTCATCCCCAGGGCTCACCAGGGCACCGTGGCCACCATCAGCCCAGGCCAGCAATTAGTGCATCACTGTCAGTATTTCTTGACCATAATCATCATCCTCTCATTGCCTACTCAGTTATATGTTTAGTGCATCACTGTCAGTATTTCTTGACCATTATCATCATCCTCTCATTGCCTACTCAGTTTCACATATGTATCTGGACATACATGTATGTCCCATGGAGCCTATCTCCTTGGCTCCAGTCTCCTGTGCTCAGCTCCTGAAACATGTTTTTCTCAAAGAATCTGAGCAGCATCTCAGGAAGAGCTGAACCGTGGTTTCCACTTATTATGCCTAGAAACAACAGATTTAAAGATTCCCCTTTCTGTTTATACTGTCTACTTGACTGAATTCAAGGCTGATTTACCAGTTACGGGTTACAATTAAAATAATTAATGCTTCTGTTCTGAGGGAAGTTCCTAAGGGCTGTGTTTCCCTCAAATAATTGTGAGGGCTTTCGGAAAGCTCAGCTGCAGAACAGAAGAGAAGCACCGTTCTGCAATGAAATGCAGTGGGAATTAATGCATGTGCTGATTGCTACAAGTGTTGCATTACAAGCCTGTGCCATTGCTCCTGTGGAGTAAAGTGCATGGAAAAAAAAACACCTGGAGTACCTCTGTTTGGATCCTTCCTTGCCCTTTGCATGCCAAGAGAGGTGGAGGTACCTGGCTTGGGAGGAGTCGCGCTGTGGTGGTGGGAAGGGCTGAGACCAGCAGTTTGTGTTCTGGGCTGGCCTGTGGTGCCTAGTGGTGGCCAGCAGGCATGGAGCTGTGAATCCAGGGCTTCCTACACTGCCAAAGCAAACAGCCTACCACCTTCTTTCTGCTGTATTTGCACGTGTGTTGTTGCTCATCTGCTCAGTAGAGCTGAAGAGGTCTGCATTTTCACCCCGCAGAGGAGTATTTCCATTCCTTGACCCTTGCCAACTAAAACCATCCTTGTGATTGATGTGTGCTCTTTTTGTTTGCAGGTATAACACCTTGCCGAGCCGAAGGACACTAAAAAATTCCAGATTAGTGAGTAAAAAAGATGATGTCCATGTCTGCATCATGTGTTTACGGGCCATAATGAACTACCAGGTACTTCCCTTCTTGTTCTTCCAGACTGTGCAGCGGTTTTGTTCTTGGGAGGGGAGAGAAGAGGGCTAGTGGTGAACTGTTGAGGTAGAACTGACACAAAGGTTAAATTCTTACTCATTCTTGGGCAATGGAACATAGTCCTCGTGTGCCTGTGCAGATGATGCACAGATCTGAAGGCACATGGAGATAAGAGCATGTGCATATTGGGCCAGTTCCTGTTTGCAGCAACGGGCTCACTTGGCACTAACTTACTAGACTCACTGTTGAACTACTGAGGTTGTAATTGGTCTCAGAATTTAGTATTAACACTTAGGAAGTGTGAGAATTTCTCAGAAGAGCTACACACTGATGGAGAATCCAAACTTCTGCTCTTGTTACGTGTGTATCACAAGGCAGTTGCAGCAGCTGCAAGTCAAAGGATAAATTAGACCAAAGCTAATTTTTCATGAGTTTCTTTTGTCTTCATTGGGCTGCTGGCATCATATGGCATGCCCAGATAGCTTCAGAGAGTCGGGATTTTTTGCTAAAAGAGCTGAAAGTTACGTGTGTCAAAGAAAGGCTGTGGTGAACAGCTCTCTCATGAGGTGTATCATCGTGCGAGGTGTTTCTAACACGGCTCCGTATGTGAAGTCTGCCCTGAGGAATACCAGCTCCCTGGGATTAACAGGGTGTCTTACCTCTGATGGGAAGGATACAAGGAACAATCTTGTGCTAATAACCAACACAGGGTTTTCCAAAGCCATTATTTTCATTTTGGAAGGGCAGAGCCAGCAGTACTCGTGCAGTCACTGTGTCCTGCAGTCTCTCTGGGGCAGCCATGGAGGCCGGAAAAGGAGTGGGTTTGACAGCTGAATTGCAAATTGCTCTTTATGGAATTAACGAGGGCTTGGAGGGAGGAAATGAAGAGCAGAGGGGTTGGCAGTGGTGTAGGAGCAGCTCTTGGACCCCCTTTCGATGGCTGAGATGGCCAAACCAAGTACTTTGGGCACTGCTAGCTGCAGAGGGGCTGTGAGGCACGGGGGGAGATGCAGATGTGCCGGCTGCCTCGCTCAGCTCCACGTTTTGTTTGCCTTCCATCACTGGGAAAAACTGCTGCCAGATTGGTAATTTGTAGGATTTTACTGATATTCCTGTCAGTCCCAAGGCTGAACCTCTTTTCCCCTTCTGTTTTCAGTATGGATTCAATATGGTCATGTCGCACCCACACGCCGTTAATGAAATTGCACTAAGTTTGAACAACAAGAACCCCAGGTAGGCTGTAGTTGCTTTTAGAGGGTTGAAGTAGGTAAGTAAAGAGGACATGGCAAGGGATTTTCAAGGGTATGTTTCTGCACAAACCTGTAGCAAAAATCAGACTTTGTTCTGAATCAGATTAAATCAGTTTTGTGGTGCAAGAAGGTGCTAGTTCCACTGGGTTCAGGAGCTACTGGCCCTGCAGCTGAAAATGTGCTGCTTGAGCACTCCAGCTCTATTGCAGTGCAAAGGGGACCCTGCTGATAATGAGCAGCTTAGCATGGGCTTTTCCTGAAGAATCTTCTTAACTAGATTTTGTCCGAGGGCTGCTGAGGTTTGGATTTCTCTGAGAGAGGGTTTTGTTCTTGCTCTGGGTCGGGTTGCTGTTCAGCCACAGCAGCAGGGGTGTGACTGCACAGTGGAACTGCTGGCTGCCAGGCTGTCCCCTCCTCTCCTCCCACACACTTCTGACCCTGGCAGCCACTTGCAGCAAAACCTGGAGCTGAGGACCTCTTGCATGTCTAACAAAACCAAATCTGACAGAGTGATGTTTGCAGGGGCTGAGGCAGAGCTGAGCAGCACAGTGGGTGTGTGTCCAGCTGGCCTTTGCTCTGGCTGTCCACTGGCCTTACAGCACACTGCTTGGAGCCTTGTCCTGGTGGAAGCAGGTCCTTCCTTCCTTCCTTTCATTTAGCCCTAGGTCAGCAAGCCTAGGCACAGGATACATGGGAAGGATGTGGGAAGTGTGTTGTTTTTTATCATTTTTGATGTCCTGGAAATGGTGTGATCAAGAGAAAGCTTGAAGTTTTCATTTCTGAAAGAAATGGGTTATTTAGGTTTCTTTAAAAAAAAAAACAACAAAAAAACCCAAACAACAAAAAACTTTCAAATATGGCCAAAATAATCTGAAGACAAATCTTAATGTTAGTGCTGTTTGAAACTTACTTTCTTTTTGCTTTAGCCCCATCATCATTTTTGAAGAAAGGAGAGGCTGGGGTGCCTGGGGCTGGCTGAGGTGATGTGCAGGAAGGGAAGCAGCAGCTCCGGGTGCTGCTGCAGAGCTGAGCCCAACCCCAGGCTGTGCACACTGCTGGGGTGGTGGGTGACTGCAGGGACTGTGTTCCCCTGGTTGTGCCCAAAGAGATACCACCCACCTGTCTCTCCCTGACCCTGCACGGCTCTGGTGGCACTGGGAGCTGGGCACCCCCTGGGCTCTGCACCTGGAGATTGCCAACCTGCCCCCCCAGCTCATAGCTCACCCTTGGAGGGGGTATCACTGAAGATCCATGGGAAGGACCCCTTGATCCCATCTGAAAGAGCTTGGATTTTCTTCTTGTGGAAGGAAAAAAAAGTTAATTTTATGAGTAAGAGTTGAAAATGATACATTTAAAATTTCCTAGGAAAGTGAACATTTTATCTGGTTTCCAAAGATAACCTTGACACTTTGAAAGCCAAAAGGTATTTCTTTTTCTGTAACATCTGGTTTGAGTCAGTGCTTTAGCATGAGACTAATTTCATATGTGTCTGCATGATTTTACTATCTGCTCAGAGCCATAAAGTCTGGTTGGTGCTTTTGCCTTATGTGAACCCTGTAAGAAACCACTGGGGATTATTTATACTGGGGTGCCACTGGGGCTGCTGCATGCTTTTCTTCCAGTAACCTGTTGTCTCCTCTCATTAACATGCCTGTGTTAGCACTGCTGTCAGTCAGTTGCCCAGATTTCTGATTCAGAAGGGGAAAAGATGCTAAGGCATCTGGGGTTTGCTGGAGTGAACCACGTCCTTTCTTTTTTTTGGTTTGTTGTTTTTTTTTGTGGCTATGAATCCTACCAATTGTCCTAGAAAATAATTCAGGTTTGTATCAGGCAAAACCCAGATTGGAATGATGATCACATGCATTCAAAACTGGGCTCAGAGGAGAGGGGCTGTGTTGTGGTGAAGTCAGCTGAGGTGGCTGAGGGTCTGGCTGGTGGGAAGCTGCCTCCTCACTGGGTTCCTGGAGAGGGAAGCTCTCCAGGAGGACCTGCTACTGAAGGCTGCTGAGCTCTGCCTTTGCCAGAGTGAAGCAGCTGCCTTTGGTTTGCTTGAATTTCCACAAGTTCGGTTTGTGATTTTGATTGACTTTAATTTTTTTTGCATGTTTTGAGGAGTGTTAAAATGATGGGGGAAAACTGCATGATGCTGGGAGAGTCCCAGGGCCCTGGGTCAGGTGATGCTCAGTGTTCTGCATCCTGCAGGTTCACGAGGCTCAAGGGATTAAAAATGCAAACTCCATCTCCCAGTGTCTCCACATCCTTTTTGCAACCAGGGAGAAAGAAGGAGGTTCAGCAGGTAGTAGTCCCTGACTGTCCCCATTTCTGTTCTTCACAGGACGAAGGCCCTTGTCCTAGAACTCTTAGCAGCTGTTTGCCTGGTCAGAGGAGGACATGAGATCATTTTGTCTGCGTTTGATAACTTTAAGGAGGTATGTTACTTGCTTTACTGGAATTTGGTGCTCGTGGTGGTAGTTCTCTTACCCTTGGCTAGAGCTTCCTCCAGCTATATTGCTCAGAGTAAGGATTTTCTATAAACTTCAGATTTTCCATGAGTAAATTGGAGCTGGAAAGAAGCAGACAGTGGAGTCGATGCCACTGTTTTGTTCATGTTTGTGTGAAAGAGCCATAATCCCAACAAGATCCAGACTGTGAATTGCTCCCTTTACCTTGTGGTCAGTCAGGCTGTGTCCCTGAGGTACACAGCTAATGGAGATCTTGAGAGCTTTGCTCCAGCTCTTCTGTCTCTAAAACAGCTGGGAGTGCTGTATCAGATCTCCCATTTTCAGAGCCATTTACACAAGCCCTTGGACTGCAAAACTCCTGGTTTCACTATCAGTAGAAACTTTATTCGGGATGAAATTTCAAAACCCAGTCTCCGTGATGGAACACTGACTGCTGGAATGAATACAGGGCTTCCACTTGGCTCCAGTGGGGCAAACCAGTGTCTTCCATAGGTGAGGATGTTCAGGTGTATCACACGTTTGCATATGGTGGATAATGGGCTTTGGGAACATTGTATGAAGGTTCGGAAGCAATGGTGGGGGAGTCGAGTCCTAGGAAGCTGCTGTTCTAGTTTATTTTGAATATTGAATATGTGTGTGGATTTGTTAGCAAAGGAAAAATGAATCTAGACTTTCCAGCTCAAAAATTGTTAGACTTGATGAGTCCCAACTGGACTATGTATAAACATGTAGCCTGTTTTTCCTTAATGCTGCTGTTGCTGTAAGTGGGTTAATGCAGATGATCAACAAGCCAAGTTGTTCATGTTTTTACTTTTTGTGTTTGGGGAATTATTTCTGGTGGGGAGATACCAATCTCTGCTTTACATCCACTGCAAATATTTGCATGTCATAGAGAAGTAACTGTGTTTCTGAGGTGCTCATCATTATACAGAGCCAGAGCCAAAGGTCTGAAATCATCTCCAGTGTGGGCCTGTTGTAGAAAGCCCAGCTTGGCAAGACCAGGCCTGTCCTAGGTGTGATCTGTGCTGTGTATGTCAAGCTACCCAAGGATAGAGGTGATGGGAATGGCACTGCTGGCCAGGCTTCCCTGGCTGTGAAGTGGAAGTTGAGTTGGAAGCGTGGTGTGACCATGGAGAAAGCCTTGCTTCTGGTTCCACCAGTGGAAGGGGTGGCCAGGATATGGAAATGAGACCTTCTGCTTCCAGCAGGGGAAAGGTTTGTAGTCCTTTAGTGCAGGCACAGGACTGGAACTGGGAATTGTAGGTTGGTTCTTTCATTTATTCATCTGTGGCCTCAGGCAAGTTCCTGGTATCTGTGTCTTTATTTGCACCTTGGTGAAATGAAGGAATCACGGAAGCAAATGCAGATGAGATTGTTCTGAAGAGCAATTAGGTAATGTGAGAGAAGTGTTTTAAATAGGAAAAAGCACTGTCTTTATTCCAGGCTTAAATCCTTCTGGTTTATTACTCCCCCATTATAGAAGAAAGAGGACTCATCAGGGAGGAGAGTGTGAGGGATTACTGGGGAGCTGGGCAAGTGGCTACAGCCAAAATGCTCCTGGTGGGAATGTCTGGGAGGCTCCTTAACCAGGCCCTTTGCTTGGCACAGGGAAGGGTGGACAAGGGCCCGTTTGCTTCCTTAACCTTCCTGGCGTTTTTAATTGAGGTTTTAGTCTTTTAGTTGTCTTCCAAGTGCTCCATCCTCTCCCTTCTCTACGCTAGCATTCAGAAATTCCAACCTAACACGTCGGGTTTGTCTGCCATGATTTATTCCTTCCCTTCCTCCTTGTGTTTGATCAAGTTGTTTGTTACAGTGGAGTGAAGGGGGTGTGCAAGGAGGGGCTTTTGCCTTTCTCAGTTCTGCATTTGGCTGTCCCTCTCTGGTTATGCTGCTCATCTCTTGCTCTGTGCTGTTGGTTGCCAGTTTCCTCCTGGGTGAATTTTCAGTGGTGGCTCCGAATCTTCATGGTTAGAACTCACTCAATGGTGCATTAACAATCTCGGGGTTGCTGGCATGTGGAGTACGCAGGGTTAGGTTTCTAGCAGTACCCTTCCAAATTTAAATTACTGTAAACTTAATCATATTGGTGTGGCTTCTGTAAGTATGCATTGCAGGGCTGCCACAGCTCCTCTGGGGTTCTTTCATCAGGCACACTCTGCATATTTAGGGCAGATTAGACTCGTCAGACTAGATCTCTGCCACTCTATCTGCTTGCCATAAAATAACTTCAAAAGGAAAGCTGAACTCCTGCCTAACACTCACCCTGTAATAAAGTCAGTAGGGAAAACAGGATGTTTCGGACCAAATTCCACTCTCATTTACATCAGGGTGAGCATCAAATATTTCATTAGGCTTTGAGCTTTGCTCTGATGTAAATGAGAACAGAATTTGCTTCTCAGGGTCTGGAAAACCACAGTTGATCTGAATCTCGTCAAGAATTCTTTAAGAAAATGACTTTCCAGGCCAATCTTCTTCTGGCTGGGCTCAGGATGTTCATGTGGAAGACGGTTTGTTGGGTTAAACTGTGTCTTGAAAGTTATTCTTCTCCACTTACCTCACCTGAAAGAGCTGACTCCTGTGCACAGGTTGTTTCCCTTTGCAGGGCGCTCGGGCTGCAAAGAGAAAATCCAGAACCGTTGCAGCCAACGGGGAATGGAGACCAGGAGAGGGAAGGTTGGGATGGATGGGTGGATGGAAGGAGAGGGAGGTGCTTTATGCAAAGTTACTGGTGGCAGGAAACACAAGAGCCCCGCGTTGGAGGCCAGTGAGTGGCAGTGCTGTTGGGTACATCTGTGTTTGAATTTTGCCAAAGGGCAGGAGGCAGTTACGGGGAAATCCTTGTCTGGGCTGTACCGAGTGAGTCTGGAACTGTAAGGAAAATGTTCCAGCTGCACTCTGCACAAATTCCTTGTTCTGAGTGTGGTTTTGGGAAATAGTTGGGAGTTACTGGGCCACAGGTAACCCACTGGCATACATAGACCTTTTGGACTGAGTCCAGAGAAGGGCCACGGAGATTATCCAAGGGCTGGAGCAGCTCTGGAGCCAGGCTGGGAGAGCTGGGGTGTTCAGCCTGGAGAAGAGAAGGCTCCAGGGAGACCTTAGAGCACCTTCCAGTGCCTGAAGGGGCTCCAGGAAAGCTGGGGAGGGGCTTGGGACAAGGGCAGGGAGGGAGAGGACAAGGGGGGATGGATTAAAACTGGAAGAGGGAGATTGAGGTGAGACATGAGGAGGGAATTGTGGAGTGTGAGGGTGG